TTCTTGAGAAGTTTAACCAAATAGGTAGTGTTCAAGATGTTAAACGATCTGGTCGACCAAAAATTAATGATGACTAAAAAATTGACATAATTTCAGAAATGGCAGTGAACCCTACATCTTCTACAGCCCAAGTTGCATCTATCTATGGAATCAGTTAAAAGACAGTAAACCGAGTGTTGGCCGAAAACAAATTTCACTATGCAAATTAAAAATTGTGCACCAACTTTCAGAAGATCACCCCGACCGAAGACTAGAATTCTGTGAAAATATGTCTAATAAAATTAATCAACAGCCCTACTACATAAAAACAATTTGTTTTAGTGACGAAAGTACTTTTTCTCTCAATGCAAATGTTAACACACACAATGTGAGGTAGTGGAGTGACACAAATCCTCACGTCTTTCGTGAAACACATACCCAATTGTCAAAAAAAAAATAAATGCTTTGGCAGGTATTTTGGGAAACCACATAGTTGGGCCCGTTTTTCAATACTAACTTAACCGATGAAGTATATCTGGAGATGTTACAAAATGCAATTGAACCGGTAATACTTGGAATTCTGGAAGATAATTCAGATAAATTGCAGTAAGGCGTTACCTAGATCAGGAATATCGTGGTAGATAAATTGGATGACGAGATACGATAGAATGGCTAGCTCGGTTACCGGACCTCACACCATTAGATTTTTTTCTGTAGGGATACTTAAAATCTAAAGTTTACACTACAGCACCCGACGATATTAACATTTTGAAACAACGAATTTTTAAAGAGTGTAGGGCAATTTCCCCCGACACATTTAAACGAGCACGGCTAGAGTTTAAAAATAGGATGCATTACTGTCAAGAAGTAGATAGAGCACATTTTGAACACTTCCTATAAAAACTAGTTGTTAAATATTTATTAATTAAATGAGAAGCCACAATTTTAGTATTTATTTAATTTATTCATCAAAATGAGCTTAAACTCAAACAAAATTATTATGACTAAATAGGTATTTTCAATACCTTTTACACGAGGTATCACTTGCCATAAGGTTCCATTTAAAATTATGTGTCACAGTGGCGCTGTAACGTCATCTGTCACTTTTACGTCACCTTTTATGACTAGTTGAGAAGCCTACGTCTGTTTATTACCTTCCTCCAAATTTCACTATTTAACAACAACCGTTGAACAATAACCGTTCAAAAGATACGGAGTGGGGAACGGACTTTTGACTAGCACTGTATATATTATGTTATTTAACCAAAGATTTTCCTTGGCATTTCCTTATGTTTATTTTATTGTTTATTTAATACCATTGTTGTAAAATATTTATTGTTACTTTAAATTAATTAAATGCTGCTCATGTAATATTATATCTATATCATAAAACAACTATTTATAAGTAACCAGATCTTCTGTAACCCAGAAATAATTACGCCTTTTTAAAAAGTATTTACGCGTTCTTGATTCATCTGGTTTTCAATGACATCAAAACAACTAAAAATGTAAATTTTTTAAAATATATGATAATGTCATTCCTGTCTGATTATACCACAATTTTTGCAAGTACGACGGAAATAGTATTTGTTGTTGAATTGTATATTGTAATTTGTTATTTTACTTTTGAACTTTTTAACGAGTTCACTTAGTATGTCCTAATAATAACATTTTTAAGCGATATAATTAGTGCAATATTATCTACGAAAAGAATTGAATGGAAAAGAAGATCGGAATATATTACGTAATTTTCTTAAACAGACTACGATTAAAAAACTGTGTTCGACTGATGATTAAAAAAATTATATAACCGCAACTTAATTATCTACAAAAAAAAACAATCAGTGGAAAGATGTAATAATAGTCCGAGTAACCGACTGTGCTTCGGGTAATGAGTTAGTTCATCAACATCATAAGTATAACGACAACTCTTTGTAGGTCTTGACCTGTTCTAAGAACTTCCACCAGTCCAAATCTATTATAGGTTTGACGCTTTTAGTTGGTGATTTTTAAGGTTGTTGGGTTTCGCTTTTCCTGCTCCATTTATATAAGTCTGTGTGTTTCTTTTAGCTTTCTTCCAGTTGGTGCCTACATGATGATATTCTTGGGAGCTAAATCTTTCTGCATCATCTGTTCTACGTGACCTATACAGTTCAATCTTCCTTTTATTGGTTCTTTATATGCATTGTACAATTCAAAGTTGTATCTTGTTCGCCATACGTTGTTTTCTCGCACTCCCTTACATATAAATTCTAAAAATTTTTGTTTTAAGGTCGCGTCGCTAGTAGCTTCTGCTAACAAATCGAAAAAAAAAATTAAATAAGTATTTACTTTATAAAACTTTAAGATACCTGAAATATCTTCCTTATTAACAGGAGTTATAGGAGAGGACAAAGTAAACTGTGATAAAGTGTTTGAAGTCGGAACCGTGACATTGAAAAAAAAAACATTTAATGAGATAAACTTGAAAAGAAAGTTAGCTGTTAAGTCCCTAGCCTCTATAACCAGTTGATGACAATTAACACCACCATGGTATGTGTAAACCCAAACCCTCTCTTACATCGGATGGTGTGCACAGTAAGGAGTAATGAGATACTTAAAGAGAAATATTTCAATATGAACTATGTGCGTATACTCGATCCCTGTTCGATGAATCTGGCTTGATGAGAAAAGGAAGCAAATCTTCATTATTACTGTTTTGGTTCCAGACACAAAATAATCATTATGTATGTACTCTAGATTCAGGGAAAATGTCATACATCATTGATGGAGGTTAGCTCCTTTATCGTGTTGTCTGGCCACGCCCAGCTACCTTTAAACAGATTTTTGAGCAATACAGACACTACGTTATTACTCATTACGGAACAGCGACTGTTGTATTTGATGGATACCAGCAAGTACACCTACGCAGAGCATTGAAACAAAAGTTGAAGACTCAATTTATGTAAATATAAAATAAAGTAAATTTTTAGCTAACTCTAACAAAAAATGGGCAATACACTTGCTATGGTTGCACAGTTCATCAAGCATCGGGTGACGCTGACTTATTAATAGTTTAAAGAGCTATTCATGAAGCTAAAAAAGACGTTGAATCTTGAGTTATTAGTGATGAAACTGGCCTACTAGTTTTGTTGACTCTCCACGCACCATCAGAGAAGAAATTGAAAATGGTGGTACCAAAGGAAGGCAATCAACAGCAAAAAATCTACACTATTGCTGGCATTCAGCAAGGCATTAGGAATATAAAGGATGTACTCTTTGCAATATACGCTTTTACAGGATGTGACACGGTATCAGAAAAAAACACCTGAGAAAAGACACAAAAACAAGTATCTATAAAGTAGCAATTATTAGACCTTTATTAACATACATGGCGGAGACAAGACTTGACACATATAAAACGAGACGACTACTAGAAACAACAGAGATGAAAATACTCCGACGAATATCAGGGAAAAGTCTGTTGGATAGGGAGAGAAGCGAAAACATAAGAAAAACATGCAATATAGAAGACGTAAATGGATGGGTGACAAAACGATAACAGAAGTGGAACAAACACATCAGTAGAATGGCAGAGGATATAATTGTACGAATAACACGAGATAAGCCACCAAATGGACGAAGAAGTATTGGCAGACCAAGAAAAAGGTGATGCGACAATTGAAACAATTTAGGAGGCTGATATTGTAGAAGAAACGGGCTTTAAAGCCTACATACAAGATGGAAGAAAAAGAAGAACATAACCTATTGCTATTAAATGCCTCTAAGAAAAGAAAAAAAGAACGACCAAGACTCATATGGAAAAGAACAACGGAAAAGAAACTATGTAAAAGAAAATAACTTAATGCAGGAAACAAGGGAATGATGCGAGTTATAGTACAATGATAGCTAGAATCCAGTATATTCGACCACGCGAATTCAGTAAGGAGATACCGCATATCAGCACCGAATATTCCGGAGCCTTGCAACACCAATTGTGACTTACTAAAACAGCAAATTGAGCAAGTGTAATGATTATAAATAAAGCATTGTAAAACCACCTTTTTTAGTCCGACATATTTGTATTTAAAGTCTGAATAATAGATATATTTTGATTTGTAATTAAAATCTTTGCAAGTGTAAATAAAAGTTATTTTGAGTGTTCGTGCTTTTTCAAAAGTGTTTTTCAAAAGAACATTCATAATTCGGAGAAGTCAACAGGTGATCATGAGATTAGCAGCCTCTACATTAATACCATTTGAAACTGAAGCACCGTAAAGTGCCTTTTGCTCTACTGTGAGATGTATATTGATCTATTATAATGAACAGATGAAACATAAAAAATGTAGAAGATCTAATAATGTAAGACCACTAAGAGTCCAGATAATAACTGTACTGCATTATATGAAGATAATTACGGAAAACTAAAAAAAGTACTGGAAATATAATCATAGTTGCTCGTTATTGTTGTTTGTATTTGCTCAAAATACACCTTGTAAGAGCGTGGAAGGGGGAATAACCATACCAAAGATCTTTTGTTGTGTTAAATTTATTCCAAACATTAAATTTTATTTGTTAAAGTACTTAAACGACAAACAAAAACCTGCTGTTTTCTTTAATGAAATATCATACGGACAAAACAGGTATTTAATCAATAACTATTTGTTGTTGCTATTTGGACGCTAAAAGTAAAATTATTTATCATCGTAAACAGTGGCAACAATTTTAACTAAAATGATATAACAACTAACTTGCGTCACAAAAGTGCATTTTATCAGATATACATATTTGTTTGTGGTTGTATTAGCATAAGTAAATGTCAAACGTTTGTTTCTTTTACACTACAACATGTTTTTGTGTACATACGATACATTTATTTATATTATTTATACAAATAACAACCTTATAAACAACGGCAAGTATACTATAGATAGTATTAAATAAAAAAATGTTACGGAAGAGATATTTCTGACTCATAGATTTATCCTTGTTATTATGAATTTTTGTGGATTTCCGCTATTGCATGACTAGGTATGACTTACTTTAGCCGGCCGATTGAAGTGGTTTTTGCTTGAAATCACTTCACAAAAACACAAACCAACTAATAATCACTGAAACATTCGGTTTGTCTAATAAAACTGATCAATTTGTACACACTGTTTCACGATTACCGCAGCCGTCCGTTTCTGATATTATAATAGTTATTTTCGCCGTTGACCTTCAGCGGCTTTACCTCTAAAAATTTTAAAAACAAAAAGTACATCTATACGGTTCTCCCACGCCGCAGTAGATGCGATAATACGTCGCGATGTTGCACAGACCAAGTTCCGCGGGATTTTGAAATAAGTCACTCACTTTTTAGATAATTATGCGATATGAGTCAGTGTTAAACAAAAAAGAAGCGATTGGATTCGCCACCATGTCCATGCTTGTTCAACACGTTGTCGCTAGCTAAACAGATAATAGTTTAGATGCACAACCTCCGACCAGTGTTATTATCTACCTCAAACGTGACCGTGACCGACATCACTGATTAATGAAAATTACAAGGGTCGAGCGTTTAGTTGGTCACTGTCTTGAAGTACTACACGCTTTTTCAAAAAAAAATATACATTAGGAATTAAAACATTGTTAATATATAGATGTACAGTAACTATAGTAACATAATATAACCTGAATACGGCCGGTTTGCGCTCGACCTTTTTGCGCCCTTACCTGAGGGCGGTTTCGACTTTCGCTAATCGACCGGTTTGTGCTTTGTGCAATTTTCATAATATAAATAACTTACTACTATAGTTTCCTTAATCGGCCGATTTGCGCTCTCTTGCAAAATAATTTTAATTTTATTCTACAATAATAGTCTGATGAACCTGCAATGAACAAACTAACATGTCAAATAAACAGAAACATCTTTTTCCTTTTGATTTGAAAAAAAAAAGTCAAATCAAAACTAACAAAATTAAGAAAAATTACCTGAAATTCTACGTGATAATGACCATATCGATGGTTAATCATTTCTATTGCGTTCTTTGAGATACTAGAATCAAGAATTATTGTGAATCAGTGTGAGTTAGTGTAAGTTAGTGTTTTAAAAATGGATGTGCAAATTATTGAAACTTCGAAGGGAAAATCATGTGCATTGTATAAAGTGTACAGTTTTCGTATGAAAAAAATAAATAAAGATTGTTCGGTTTTTTTGGGTTGTTTAAAAGAAAAAACTGAAAAATGTCGAGGCCACATAATTATGGATAATAACACAATAATTAAGGAAGCCGAACATCTGTGTAAGCCGAGTGTTGCAGCGACAGAAGTGAAGCAGTGTGTCTTCAATGCTCGAAAAAGAGCTAGGGAAGACAATAGTTATTTGCCGATATCAAAAATACATCAAGATGATTTTCAAAGATTATATAGTCAAGGACTGGATTTCGTGACAGACATCACAAAATTCTCTTCAGTGAAAAGTGGTTTAAAGATTGTAGAAAACGTGCGCGTGGGCTGCTCACAGATCCAGCGGCAGCATCCGAAATAGTATTTCCAGAACAAAATTATTACAATGAGTGACAAAACGAAATTTTTATTTATCGACAAGACCAGTCCCACGGGATACAGAATTTTGGTTTTGCCAGCAACAAAGCTAGGGAGATTTTGGTTATAGTGTATTTTTATGTATGAGAGAGTAATAAAACAATAAATTATGTATGCAAATCCCTAAACTGTTGATACGGGTGACTCAATGAAAAACAGATATTTGTCAACAAGTTTACAGAAGTATATAGGAAAACAATTTTAAATGGAGTATGACCACCAGGTATAAAGGTTGGAATTGGAATAGAATACAATATTTGTGAGGGTTACTAATCCCTAAATAAGGTTGCCAGTGTCGGAGTGATGGAGGTTAACAGGTACTAATGAATTTGCAAGAAATGTAAGATGTTTATTTTATTGGTTATATATAACCAATAAAAGTTTAATAAGTACCTACCTATTTGCAAAATAAAGTTTAATTCTTTAGATAAAATAAAACGTTTTATTTTATCTGAAATGAGTGCATTCCACGAAGTAAGGGTTTCAACAATCAAACATTTAATTCTTTAATTCGAGGAATCTACTACAGTAATTGACTAGATAATTACCTTCTAAACTTATTCCACAGAAAATGTGATAGTGGGTTTTTCCATTTTGTAGGAAGGTCCAAGTGGCGTATTCAAAATTCTTAACAGTTCACTAAAAGTAGGTAGTTCAGTTGCAAGGTGCAGTTTATTGTGTATACTAGTATTATGAAAAATTTGGAAGTGCCGTGTAAACGCCGAAAAATTGGTCCTTTAACAGTTAATAAAAAAACATTAATATTTAATTGTTTTAAATCATTTACAGACAAACGTTTATGTGAAAGTGTTGATGAGACCGTTGAGTTAGTTAGCAGTATACTTGGTGTTGGGAAATCTACGATTTACAGAGTTATTAAAGAAGAGAAATGTGGTAGTTTTCAAATGCCACGTAATGCTCCAGGAAAACCAAAATTTCAAATAGAATATCATTTTAAAGAAGGACTTCGACGGAAAGTGCATGAATTCTTCTTTAGACAAGAATTTCCAACGTTGGATAAAGTTCTTGTCTCAGTTCAAGATGATAAGGATTACCCAGAAATGAGTCGAAGTACGTTATGGAAACTTTTAAAAGAAATAGGCTTCCGCTGGAAAAAGAATCCCAGAAAGTCTATTTTATTAGAAAGAAGCGATATTGTCATATGGAGAAGACATTTTCTAAGAACCATAAAGGAAATGAGAAACCAAAAAAGAAAAATGTTTTATCTTGATGAAACATGGATCAACAAGGGTCATACACCAAATAAATTTTGGCAGGATGAAACTGTTACAAGTCAAAGGCACGCTTTTGTAAATAACTTATCTACTGGTTTAAACCCACTATCAGGAAAGGGACGCAGGCTGATAATAGTACACATTGGCAGTTCAGACGGTTTTGTTGAAGGTGGTTTATTAACTTTTGAATCAACTCGTACCGGTGACTACCATGAAGACATGAACGCTGATGTCTTTCAAGAATAGTTCGAATAAATGATAGATCTTCTTCCTAAGAACTGTGTAATAGTAATGGATAATGCAAGTTATCACTCCAGACTTATAGAAGGACTGCCCACAACCAAGTGGTTAAAAAAAGACTTGCAGAATTGGCTGAGTTCAAAAAATATTACGTACCATCCCGGATCTATAAGAAAGGAACTTTATTCGTTGTGTGCCCTTCATAAAGAAAAATTTAAAAAATACGAAATTGGTGAAATTGCCAAAAATCGTGGAATGACAGTACTTAGATCCCCACCATATCATTGTGAATTAAACCCGATTGAACTGGTATGGGCACAGATAAAGAGTGAAGTTTCAAGAAAAAATACCACTTTTAAAATTCATGATGTTAAACAGTTGTTTTTGGAGGCCGTAAATAATGTAAAACCTGAAAACTGGGAAAAGGCAGTAAATCACACTATTAAAGAAGAGGAAAAAATGTGGAAGCTGGACAATATTACTGATAAAATGATCGAGCCAGTTATTATAAATCTTGGTTCTGAAAGTTCATCTTCTGAATCTGATTTGGATTTGTAACAAGTAGCTGTAAGTTTTATATTACTATTTTTATTCATCTATTTAACATACCTTAGACGGTTTTAAAAACTCTTTTTCTCTTTTATAATTTTTAAAAATTAAAAAAAATGTGAATTTTTAAAACACTTTTTAATGTAGGCCAGTCAGTTCTGATATAGTGTGTGGTAAAAGAGGTCACTTTTGTTTACATACACATAACACTGAAATAATTCATTTATTTTTTACAATTATTCAAAGTAATTTTTCAATTAATCTTGAGCACGCCCATGGAGTGGGTCGGAGGTACCAGTTAAAATTATGCTAATTACTCTCTCGTTCATAAAAATAAACTATAACAGTAAGGACACTGTATTTATGGATGAAACATTCAAAAGCTGCAGTAAGCAATTTCCTCAAATATATACCGTTCATATCGATATTGGTAGTACGTCAGAGGAGACAAATACAATTCCATTGATATTTGCGTAACTTCCTAACAAAACCAAAGAGACATACGATATGTTATTTTCATCAATGAAAGAGAAACTACCAAATTGGAAACCATATCTTATAAAACTGGATTTTGAACAGGCAGTGATTGGTGCCTTAGAAAATTATTTTCCCGAAGCCAATACACTGACAACAAAGAGATACGTTTGCACATAAGGATGTGGGCTGCGTTAGCGTATCTACCCATAGAAGATATCGATGATGGCTGGTTATGCAGAAACCTCTCCCATTTCTAAAAAAATGGAACAGTTTTGGACCTAATAGATGTTGGAGGCTTTTAGGGTTAATGTGTTGTGGAAAATGGTAAGATATATGAGGAAAAGAATATGCCCAATGCATAGAAGTAGAGCGTAATGGTACCACTATATAAAGATAAAGGAGACATTAAGGAGTGCAAGAGGTATAGACTTCTTCTTCTGGACTGGCTTAACAACTCAATGTGAGTCTTTGCCGCATCCACTATAGCCTTCCATATTCTACGATCTTGCACTCGTCAAAGGCGTCTGAAGACATACCAGGCACAATCTGATCAAGCAAGTAGGAAGAATAAAAGAATTTGCTTTGATAACCAATTTCTTAGTATCTAATCAAGCGATGTAATCAACCATATTGTTGCTGGCGAGTAGTCTTACCAACTTACTATAAAACTAACTTCTCTTTTCCTTCGTTTCGTGCTTTTTTTCCTGTCTAGAATTTTTACCACTATTTTTTTTATATTATTACCAAGTTTATTCTGGTGATGTGTTTAAAATTAGAAGGTCCAACAACTAAATTAACAGAATAATGATCTTGTCACTTTTTTTGTTTGAAAATGATATTACCACATATGATATTGTTGTTCCGGCTGTTTTACAAAGTTTTCCCATTTTTTTCTTTGTTTCGCAGTAGTCTTCTATTTTTTGAAATTTCAGTCTCTGCATTGTATGTCATAATTAGTTTTATAGATTTTAGATTTGGTCTCAATGCTAACGTTTAGTTTCATTCAAAAAAACTTTGCCTCTGGTAGTGGCAGGGTGAATTTAGTAGCTCAGTAACTACCAACTCAGTTACCAAGCCCGGAAAAGGAA